GTTTCGTTTGACGCTTGGGGCGTTTGATTTATGCAAACGGATTAAACTCTGGACTGCGCCTGACTCCTTCTTTCACACCTCGTCACAGCGACATACATTTATTTATGTCAGATGCCTACTGCGTCTGCTATACAGATATAGACGTCCAGAAGGAGGGTACATTTGTTAATTTTCTATCCGAATATTTTGTATAAAGATAAATCAAATCAAATCAAATGTTATTTGTCACATGTCGAATACAACAGGTGTAGACCTTACAGTGAAATGCTTACTTACAAGCCCTTAACCAACAATTCAGTTTTAAGAAAGAATACCAAAAAAAGAATCACACAAAAAAATACAATATATAATAATATGAAATAAAAGTTACTAATTATTAAAGAGCAGCAGTAATATAAGGCTATATACAGAGGGTACCGGTACCGAGTCAATGTGCGGGGGCACCGATTAGTCGAGGTAATATGTACACGTAGGTAGAGCAAGGCACTTAACCCTAATTGCTCCTGTAAGTCGCTCTGGATAAGAGCGTCTGCTAAATGACTAAAATGTAAATGTAAAATTAAAGTGACTATTCATAGATAATAAACAGAGAGTAGCAGCAGCGTAAAAGAGGGGGGGGGGGGGGGGGGGGGGGGGGGGGGGGGCAATGCAAATAGTCTGGGTAGCCATTTGATTAGATGTTCAGGAGTCTTATGGCTTGGGGGTAGAAGCTGTTTAGAAGCCTCTTGGACCTAGACTTGGCGCTCCGGTACCGCTTGCCGTGCGCTAGCAGAGAGAACAGTCTATAACTAGGGTGGCTGGAGTCTTTGACAATTTTTAGGGCATTCCTCTGACGCCGCCTGGTATAGAGGTCCTGGATGGCAGGAAGCTTGGCCCCAGTGATGTACTGGGCTGTACGCACTACCCTCTGTAGTGCCTTGCGGTCGGAGGCCGAGCAGTTGCCATACCAGGCAGCGATGCAACCAGTCAGGATGCTCTAGATGGTGCAGCTGTAGAACCTTTTGAGGATATGAGGACCCATGCCAAATACTTTCAGTCTCCTTAGGGGGAATAGGTTTTGTCATGCCCTCTTCACAACTGTCTTGGTGTGCTTGGACCATGTTAGTTTGTTGGTGATGTGGACACCAAGGAACTTGAAGCTCTCAACCTGCTCCACTACAGCCCCGTCGATGAGAATGGGGGCGTGCTCGGTCCTCTTCTTTTTCCTGTAGTCCACAATCATCTCCTTTGTCTTGATCATGTTGAGGGAGAGGTTGTCCTAGCACCACACGGCCAGGTCTCTTACCTCCTCCCTATAAGCTGTCTCGTCGTTGATCAGGCCTACCACTGTTGTGTCATCGGAAAACTTAATGATGGTGTTGGAGTCGTGCCTGGCCATGCAGTCATGAGTGAACAGGGAGTACAGGAGGGGACTGAGCACGCACCCCTGAGGGGCCCCTGTGTTGAGGATCAGCGTGGCGGATGTGTTGTTACCTACCCTTACCACCTGGGGGTGGCCCGTCAGGAAGTCCAGGATCCAGTTGCAGAGGGAGATGGTTAGTCCCAGGGTCCTTAGCTTAGTGATAAGCTTTGAGGGCACTATGGTGTTGAACGCTGAGCTGTAGTCAATGAATAGCATTCTCACATAGGTGTTCCTTTTGCCCAGGTGTGAAAGGGCAGTGTGGAGCGCAGTAGAGATTGCATCATCTGTGGATCTGTTGGGGCGGTATGCAAATTAGGGTGGGTCTAGGGTTTCTGGGATAATGGTGTTGATGTGAGCAATGACCAGCCTTTCAAAGCACTTCATGGCTACAGACGTGAGTGCTACGGGTCGGTAATCCTTTAGGCAGGTTACCTTAGTGTTCTTGGGCACAAGGACTATGGTGGTCTGTTTGAAACATGTTGGTATTACAGACTCAGACAGGGAGAGGTTGAAAATGTCAGTGAAGACACTTGTCAGTTGGTCAGCGCATGCTCGGAGTACACGTCCTGGTAATCCGTCTGGCCCTGCGGCCTTGTGAATGTTGACCTGTTTAAAGGTCTTACTCACGTCGGCTACGGAGAGCGTGATCACACATTCGTCCGGAACAGCTGATGCTCTCATGCATGTTTCAGTGTTACTTGCCTCGAAGCGAGCATAGAGGTAATTTAGCTCTTCTGGTAGGCTCGTGTCACTGGGCAGCTCGTGGCTGTGCCTCCCTTTGTAGTCTGTAATAGTTTTCAAGCCCTGCCACATCCGACGAGTGTCAGAGCCGGTGTAGTACGATTCGATCTTAGTCCTGTGTTGCCGCTTTGCCTGTTTGATGGTTCGTCGGAGGGCATAGCGGGATTACTTATAAGCTTCCGGGTTAGAGTCTCGCTCCTTGAAAGCGGCAGCTCTACCCTTTAGCTCAGTGCGGATGTTGCCTGTAATCCATGGCTTCTGGTTGCGGTATGTACGTATAGTCACTGTGGGGATGACATCATCGATGCACTTATTGATGAAGCCAGTGACTGATGTGGTTTACTCCTCAGTGCCATCTGAAGAATCACGGAACAAATTCCAGTCTGTGCTAGCAAAACAGTCCTGTAGCTTAGCATCTGCTTCATCTGACCACTTTTTTATTGATAAGCATTATATTGTTAGATTATAGGAGTAACTCTGGTAGACCTGAAACAGTCTTCCTCACCTCAAGTTCAACTGTTGGAATCAGTTTGAGCACCGGGGCGCAATGCCTTCATTTCATAGGCCTGCAGTAGCTAAAGCTTAATAATAGCTACACCATACCAAACATTCACAAACGTTTCTAAACTTTATTAGGGTAATATAAAAAGTAAGTCAAGCCATTGTTTATAGGGAAAATACGAGCAGAAGAGCAAATGTAAACCAGGGAAAAAACACACTACCCTCCCGTGTCCCCCCAAAAAACACAAAACCCTACCCAAAGCAAAAAAAACGAGTTTGACACCCCTCCCCCCAGTACATTTCGATCTGCCCCTATCAATGTGTTTATTACGAGAAAATTCAGTGATTACAAGGGCGTGTTTATTTTAAGTATTTGAACATACAGAATGCATTTCTTTTAGACAAAGACAATGGTCCTATTGAAAATGAATGATCCACCATTCAACCACTGTATTAAAGGTACCCTTTAAAGTGGACCAACTGGCTGTCTTTTCACTATACAATTTCAAGCATTATTGTATCTTCATTGTTAGAATGAATGATCTTGAATATCTATGATTATCAGTAGAAGGTTCTGGACAATCAGTCACATAATACAACACATCAGTTGAGACAAGCACAGGCCCAAGCTGCCTCTGTATGGAGAACATGTTGTGGTGTTAAAGGAGAAGTTCACTATTTTACAACTTGATGTTAGAGGGTTCTTCACCCTGACAATACTCTATGAGCCAGGAAAAACTGTAATCCATAGTTCAGTTCTTTAAACAGCCATTAAAAACCTTAACTAACTTTAGCCACCGCTAGCTAAAAATCAGTGGAAGTAATGGGGGCATGTGAGCATGTTTATCATTTTTTGTTAAATGGCCAGATTACCTTTAAGTAACAAACCAAATATGGAGTTGATTTAGACTTTAACATGCCCCACATCACACGCTAGCAGTAGCAAAATTTAGATGTACTTTGTAATGGCGGTTTAAAGAAAACTGGGTGAGGAACCATCCAACATCAAGTAGTAATAGTGAACCTCCCATTTAAGGACCTGACTCAAGGGCCCAAACGGTAGGGGAATGTCTTAAGAAAGTGAACCTAGCAGCCCTCCAGTTGCCAGATCAATTCCGCCGGTTTTCCAGTGCCTGGCCCGGGATTCGAACCGTCCAACTTTAAGACACAGGTCCAACATTTCTTAGCCGCTAGGCTACCTACCGCCCAATTCTTTCCCGATCAGCATACAGTTTTGATATTTTACTCCTACACAACACAAATTGTCGATACGTTCAGACACTACCCTAAACATGAATGTTTTACATGTATTTATTGTAACAAAGCAATTGGTACACTTAAATGCTAACATGAACAGTTTTCCAGTGGAAAAGAAGACCAGTGTAGATTTCATGAGATTATACAGGGTCTTTATTTTCTCTCTATAAATAACCTGTTAATTAGCCAAGCTCAAAATTACAAGAGGAAATTTGTTTTGTTTTTATTAAAAATTTAATTTTTCAAACCTCATGGGTGTCTGTAAAACATTACAATGAAAAGTCAATCAACATAAACCCAAATGTGTCAAATGCCCACTCGACCCACCAAACCCAATTTAACTGTCTACAATAACTGTGTCATACCAAGATATCGACCCCAAAACATTTACAACAGTTGACAGGAAGAAGCTGATGCTTTCTATTAGTACAACACATGACGAAGAAAAAGTGTCAACTCCAGGAGCCCCCCCAAACTCTGCGTTAAAGAAAATGTATATATATATATAATAAAAAAAGTGGCTAGAGATGCTATGATTAAGTTATCACTGCACCATGGCTCATCTTTTTTCAACTCACAACTTTAACAGAAACCTTATTTATATATCATACATATATAAATTGCTATTCGAAATGATTTGTCAATAAGACTACGTGCAGAATGCTAGTACTTTTCTTTTATTGGTCTTCGGAGACGTGTAGTTTTTATGACACAGAGATTGCCACTAGTTTGCTGATGTGGGCATGGCCTGGAAATTAACTCGTCTATAGACATGGTATGGACAGGTGGACGCTTGTAGAACAGGAGAGAGCACAAAATACAAAAATGAAAACAAAGCTTCTTGCTCCCAATGGTTGAAGGATGATTAAAAGGTAAGAACGGGGAAAGGTGTAGGTTGGAATGTCCCTTTCAACCTTAATCATCCTCGCCATCATCCTGTAGAAGAGACACACGTTTTACCTCATGCCTGTAAAGATGAACATTTCAGACAGGTGGCAGACACCGTCCATTACAAGTGGCAGTCTTCCACTACATAAAAATGTATAAAAGTCAGGGACAGTTTTACAATATTGTGAAAACAATCGGGAGTGAATTAAATCTACCATACCTCTCCATCCTCTTCCTCATCTTCCTCGCCTTCATCCTCATCTCCTTCCTCATCGATGTTTTCCAAACCCTCTTCGTCATCATCATCATCACCTTCCCCTTCCTCATCATCCATGTCAGGGACCTGGTAGAGTTGAGAGATATATATTATTTCAATCAGTTCCAAACACAGCACAAACTAGCAAAACAATGCAGGCATGAGCTGATCTTCAGTTTGGAATAGAGGCATCCAGTTGAGATGTCTAGGTGGCTGGATATAGTGGTCAACCCTATGGTCATTCTCTACACCACATTTCTGAAATGATCCCCTGAACACCATTTAGAATTTTTTTTGCAGATTTCACCTTTTACAGATCACCCTTTGGTCTAATCCCATGGCCCTAATGCCAATATATTTTGGATAACTAAGAAACACAGTGAATACTTTACCTGGCCTACCAGAGCAAGACTAGGTTTTGACACCATGGGAGTCAACAAAGAACTAGAGAGTGGAATCATACCAGGTAGTACTGTAACGGGTTGGGCCAGATGTCATCCTTGACGACCTCTCCTAGTTCGTCTGCCCCTGCGTCGGAGTGATCTGTGAACCAGGTAAAGAAGCTCTCTGGTTCTTCGTGTTGCCTCTTCTTACCCGCTTTGTTTGGCGTTTGGCTGGCACGCTTCGTCAGGTCCTGAGATCAAAGGAAAATACAAAATAATCACGAGCAGCAACACAATACATTTTGCTTTGAGTTTCTGCAGCATGACAGAGAGCAATTGGAATGTCTATAAAAAATAATTTACCATTTACTTTTTACGTTGCACGTGTGTAAACATACCTTTCCAGCCTTCCACTTGATTTCAGTTGACTTTGAAGATGGGTCCCCACTTTCATTCAAGTGAAACTCTTTGGAGAGGATTTTGTTCTCAAAGTACGGGTTCTCATCGAAGTACTGAAAAATAAACCAAGAATCTGGTTAACGTATGCACTGTTTTGTTTATATAACATACACAATTTCTAAGATTAAAATACTCACAAAATCTATTCTGTAACCCGACTTGATGTCCTCAAACTCAGTCACCTCCACCCTGGTAAGGTAATGAAGTGCCTCCTCATCCTCCTCACCAAGAAGGGCTGAAACTGACAACACGAATACAACCATAGAAAGTTTGTCAATGGACAGCAGCAGTTTGTATACCAACAGCTTAACCATCAGACTGATAATGATGGACAAAAAAAATGTGTGCAGAATCCTACAATGTACAATCAGTCTTCATTCATCGAGAACACAAACTAGTAAAAGAAGAGCATAATATCTGCATTTACCTTGTGGATGGTTGACGAATGTTGTGACCCAGAAGTTGGGGATTTTTGCTATGAGTTCTGACCGCTTCTGGAAGAATGGCTGGCGTAACTTATTGTACTTCTGCTCTACTTTTAAAATCTCCTCACTGGCCTGTTCGTTCAATCTAAAGGGATAGAGAATCATGCAGAAAATGTAATTAGATTATAGTCATAAGGTACAAGGGCAGTCTTGAAAATCACACGTGTGAGGATAATTAACTCACCTGTCAATTTCATTTTGTACTTCGTCAATGTGTTCAATAGCTTCCTGTTGCTCTTTTTCTGAAAAGAAATTACATTCGTCTTCATTTTGTTAAAAGATAATGACGAAATTGGATAATCATTTCTATGCAGAAAATATTACTGGCTGTAAATAAACAAACACCGTAAACAAGCAATCTGTCTGGTACATGAAAACTTGAGCATTAGGTACCCATGGCAAAAGTAGCTAAGCATTCCACCATCTTTCGTCAAGAAGTTAGCTCGCTAGCTAAGGTAGCCAAAGCACTGATGCAGCTTCCTGCAGTTTCTCAAGGCCGCGTGGTTTGAATGAAGGGGGGGCGCACGTTTGGGACTATGATTTCACCCCTCACTGACAGCCTGTTTACATTCTGGCGGATGGTACTAGTGTCTTACTAACGCAATATTTTGCTGTTATCTTTAATTCCATGCCAGCCCTAGTACTGCAATTTCTTCGTTCATTTCAATTCGTGAGTGCAAACCGCAATGGCGGAGCAACAATGAATGCTGGGCCTCACGAAAACAAATGTTATCTAGTTAGCGCTTTTGTTAGTTTACTATCTAACCGGCTAGTTCGTAAACAACTAACGTTAGGTAACGAAACAAAAGTGTATAACAATGTAACATGTGCAATGTAGTTAACCTTAACAAGTTAGTTACTTTAAATGTGTAAAGTAAACGCGAATCCCTCCCAAACATGCGTGGCACAATGAGCTTGTGTAAGGCACAACATGGCCTCCACCAACGTTGTAACGTTAGCATAGCCGGCTAGCCAGTTAGCTAACATTAGGTCGCAAGATCCATTCTCACTAGTCCTGCAGGAGGCATCAAATTTCACATTTCGCTAAACCCTCCATCAAATAAGCATTTCGCTGAAGGCTAACTAAACGAGTGTTAGCTAAAACAAAATAATACGCCATGGCTATTGCCAGATAAAAACAACTGAAAATGGCGTTGTAACGTTACAGGAGGCCGCCATTTCTTACCGGAGGTCTCGTCCGCTCCATCATGATTCGAGTTCTCCTTTCTACCGACTTTCGCCGTCGAGGCTGACATGATTTTCGAACACCGTAGATGTTTGAGCCAGAATATATATTCCCAGTTGTTCAGATGTCTCCTCGGGGAAGATAAAAGTTAAGTTCCACCTTCAATGGTGGAGAGTGCGAATAAAGCGCGTGTCGTGAACAAGAGAGGCTTTGCTCATGCACACACACCCTCGCCTTCTCGCGCTCGCTAGAACGCGCCTTCCGAAAGTAGGGTTTAAAAAACTCCGCCCCAGACAGAACGATCATATTGGCGGGATCGGAACACTAAAAAATGCATCCTTACTTCCTTGGAGTAATCGCATAATTTCCACTCGAGGAAGTGTTTACCGGTTTCCACTAGTTACAACAGCCACAAAGTCAAAATGGTCTATATTTTTTTTTTTAATGAAAACAAAAATGTGCTTTTTGGTCTTAATTTAAGGTAAGGGTTAGGTATAAGGTCAGAAGTGAGGTTAAGGTTAGGCTACAAATAGGCTGGGTTTATGACTTTGTGTCTGCACTGCTGTAATTCAACTTGTGGACCTGGCCAGAGTGGAAGTGTTGTTTAGAAATCTCAGATGGCGGGTTTCTTCAAAAACATCAACACACTTTCCCGAGTAGCGCAGTGGTCTAAGGCACTGCATCGCAGTGCTAGCTGTGCCACTAGAGATCCTGGTTCGAATCCAGGCTCTGTCGTAGCCGGCCACGACCGGGAGACCCATGGGGCGGTGCGCAATTGGCCCAGTGTAGGGGAGGGAATGGCCGGCAGGGATGTAGCTCAGTTGATAGAGTATGGCGTTTGCAACGCCAGGGTTGTGGGTTTGATTCCCACAGGTGGTATGAAAAAAAAAAATGTATGCACTCACTAACTGTAAGTCGCTCTGGATAAGAGCGTCTGCTAAATGACGTAAATGTAAGATGAGGACACTGCTCTCAGATGCAGAGTATCCCACTTTTTGCAAGCATGTAGAGGCCAAAGATAGCCAGACTAGTAAATTGGGCTAAGGAACAGAAGTTGGGTATTGGAGAAAGGCCATCAGTGCGTGTTCTGCAAGCAATATAGCGGAGGAAGGCGTGGCAAGAGCGTGGGGAATGGATAGACATGGTTATGGACAGCGTGGAAGGAGAAGAGCTGAGTGCAGAGAAAATATGTGTGCTGAGGAAGAATGGCGCCAAGTACAAACTGTACTCTGATGGCTCAGAAATGTAACCTGACGAGGATGAATTACCTGCGGTGGCGGTGAAGAGCTCAGAGTCCGAGCCTCACACCGATGGTCATGCAAAGGATGATTCTGGACCAGTGGGAGTGACATTTTTGGAGAAAGTGGATCCCTGCCTTTTGGCTGACCCACATGTAGTCTCAGGCTGGGTAGAAAATAATTTGGGTACTGTTAAATCGGTGAAGGTAGCTCGAAGTGGACTTGTGAGGATTTTCTGTGTTTCTTCCGCCCAGAGGGAGGGGGCGGAGCGCATCACGGGCCTCGGGACAAGTCCTGTGACTTGGTTTGCTCTCCGGGGCAGGGTGCCTTTGAAAGGAGTGATTAATAGTGTGGCGTTAAGTGTTGAGGTGGCGCAACTGAAATTAAAGATTCCCTGTGACGTCCACTGTTTGGTGCTACGCAGACCTGGTGGTGAGCGTGGTGAAACTGAGCAGACACTGTCTGTCCTTTTGAGTTTTGAAGGAGGGTCTTTATCTGACAAAGTCATGTTGAGATACAGTGCATTCGGAAAGTATTCAGACCCCTTCACTTTTTCCACATTTTGTTACATTACAGCCTTATTCTAAAATGGATTAAATAGTTTCCCCCCCACATCAATCTACACACAATACCCCATAATGACAAAGCAAAAACAGGTTTTTATAAATTTGTGCAAATAAAATAAAAAATAAAAAATCGGAAATATCACATGTACATAAGTATTCAGACCCTTTACTCAGTACTTTGTTGAAACACCTTTGGCAGCGATTACAGCCTCGAGTCTTCTTAGGTATGACGCTACAAGCTTGGCACACCTGTATTTGGGGAGTTCTCCTATTCTTCTCTGCAGATCCTCTCAAGCTCTGTCAGGTTGGATGAGGAGCGACGCTGCACAGCTATTTTCAGGTCCCTCCAGAGATGTTTGATCGGGTTCATGTCCGGGCTCTGGCTGGGCCACTCAAAGACATTCAGAGACTTGTCCTGAAGCCACTCCTGCGTGGTCTTGGCTGTGTGCTTAGGGTCGTTGTCCTGTTGGAAGGTGTCCTTTGCTCCGTTCATCTTTCCCTCGATCCTGACTAGTCTCCCAGTTCCTGCCGCTGAAAAACATACCCACAGAATGATGCTGCCACCACCACGCTTCATCGTAGGGATGGTATTGGCCAGGTGATGAGCGGTGTCAGGTTTCCTCCATATGTTACACTTGGCATTCAGTCCAAAGAGTTCAATCTTGGTTTCATCAGACCAGAGAATCTTGTTTCTCATGGTCTGAGAGTCCTTTAGTCATCTTCCTTTTACTGAGGAGTGGCATCTGTCTGGCCACTCTACCATAAAGGCCTGATTGTCCTTTTGGAAGGTTCTCCCAGCTCTACAGAGGAACTCTGGAGCTCTGTCAGAGTGACCATCAGGTTTTAGACAGTACCCTCTGTAGCGCCTTATGGTCGGATGCCGAGCAGTTGCCATACCAGGTGGTGATGCAACCAGTCAGGATGCTCTCGATGGTGCAGCTGTTGAACTTTTTGAGGATCTGGGGACCCATGCCAAATCTTTTCAGTCTCCTGTGGTCTCTGACCTCCTCCCTATAGACTGTCTCATCGTTGTTGGTGATCAGGCCTACCACCTTTGTGTCGTCAGCAAACTTAATGATGGTGTTGGAGACGTGCTTGACCACGGGAGTACAGGAGGGGACTAAGCACGCACCCCTGAGGGGCCCCCGTGTTGAGGATCAGCGTGGCAGATGTGTTGTTGCCTACCCTAACTACCCGTGAGGAAGTCCAGGATCCAGTTGCAGAGGGAGGTGTTTAGTCCCAGGGTCCTTAGCTTAGTGATGGCACTATGGTGTTGAACACTGAGCTGTAGTCAATGAACAGCATTCTCACATAGGTGTTCCTTTTGTCCAGGTGGGAAAGGGCAGTGTGGAGTGCGACGAGGAGAGACTGGCCATGATGCTTTGCTTTGAGTTGGAGGAATCTCCCTGATAGGGTGATGTTAGGATATATGAGCTATGCAGTTAGAGCATTTGTGCCTAATGTTCTGTAGTGTTTTCACTGCCAGATGTTTGGGCATGTAGCGTCAATGTGTAGGAAGGTACATTCGAGATGTGGTAGCTGTGGACATTTCTATTTAGTGGAGGCATGTCTGGAGGACAAGCCCCGACAATGAGGTACCTGTAGGCAGTCATAAGCCAGGTCTACAGACTCTGTTGACGCACCCGTGTGTCAATCTACGTGACATAATAAAAAAGTCCCCATCAAAATCCATCAGTTTAAGCTAGAGATATCCGTAATTTTTTTGCATGGGCTGCATCTCAATCCACCGCATCCACCTATGTCGGCCTTCCGCTTCTGCGGTGGAAGGTGGCAAAGCTACAGCGGTGTTTGTCAGACCATGAGACATCCTGAAAATCGGTCTTCTCACGAAAACATATTTGCTCTACAACCCCCACAAGCTCCACGGGACTCGTCTGAAGTCGGTAACATTGATGTGCTAACTTCTGTTTGTGCTACAAACTAATATGACCCCACTGTGGAAAGGGGAGACTTTCACGAACACGATGGTGTTCTCCATTTTGCTCTACAAAGGTAGCCCATACAAATTAATGGAAGTATGGAGGTAGTTCTGTGCCAACAAAAATAAGGGGTTAAATATGTGTCCTAACAAACTAAAATATTTCCTGAGCTTTC